TTGATGGCGACTTGACTGACACAAATTCCATCGTCGTCGAAAGCCGTGCTTTATCCACTACTGCATGAGATGGCCTCCCGCTGTCCGTCAACACCATCGTCTCACGAATCTTTGCACGCGAGCCGAGTGCATTGCTGCATTTCCCTTGGTGGGTGTCCCCTTGGCTTGTTCCCTGCGCTATATTGGGTGAAAACGAGGGTTCTGTATTTGGATGAGACGAGATTTTTCTGTACCGTTTGGATCGCCGAACGGCACACCGGGGTTCAATTCTTGCCACGTATCCCCATACCTCAACCGGGCGTGTGGGGCCCCCTCAGGGTGTCTCAGCTTTAAAAACGAATAGTACCTGGTGCGGTCACTGGTCTTTTTTTATTTTACCAGGTTAGGCCCACTGAGCAATATGCCTGTTTTTCAGAAGCGACCTGGTCACAAACGATAGCGTCAACGAAGTGGCTTACGCGGAAATCTATAGCGGCCAATTACTCTAAACGCATGTTGATTCTAAATGTGGAGGGGGAAAAAAAACCTTAGGACCCGGGGAAAAATAAACACGACCACGGGGAGAGAGGCACGCAAACTCCCAAGACAAGGGTGGGCACGGTGATGGCCACAACAACCTGCATGCGTGTCATCAGAAGTCAGCGATTTCCTCCTCTAATGAGCATTGAGAAGTTGCCAATCTCCTATTTACAGCCCCCCTGGGCCAATGGTGTCAATTCCACATTCATAGGGCAGGGGCAAGTCTATTCATCGCTGCAATGCTCATTTTCCAGTCCCCACCGAAAAGGGCCACTTTCACACCCGACCAGGGCTTGAACTCGGCAACCTCCCGATGGCGAGCTGCTGGCTCTCATGCATTGAGATTATTTAGATTATTTTACCGTTATAAATGTCCACGTGATAAGCCGCTTTATTGAGCTATCATTTGTGGACAAGGCGCTTATGCAAAAATAAGCGAAATACCTCGGTGGGCTTCACCTGGTAAGATGAATATAATTTTGTTTCATTTGTATATTTTTTTAATTATTTGTTTACCTTTACTATACTTTTCACTCCTTTCGTGTTTTTGTACTGTTTGTTGTTGTAAAGTTCTGACCCTCCCCCCCCCCCCACTGGACATCTACGAAGTAGAGCTTTATAGCTCATCGGATTCCTCCAGTATAAATAAATATTCTGATTCTCTGTGTTGTGCCGGTCCTAATAGGCGCTCGCCAACAGTACTTGGGCCAACGCTCAATACATTTGTACCTGGGCTGGTGTGTGTTTCTCTGTTAATGGGCTCCTATCGATAGTTCTGTTCGTGTTGAGTGTAGCGGAGCGTTTGAATTACGCTCGCGTTGCGGAGTCGTCTTTTCCTGTAAAGTTCACTCCCCAAATCTTATCTCGGTTGCGCCATCGGCATCGCACGATGGGGACGAGGAATGAATTTGGAAATCTCGTGGAGCGTTGCATAATCCCCATGTTAAGGAATGGCCCGTAGAAGCAGATATCACGGAACTACGTCTGCAGAGAAATGTTCATCTGATATTGTTTTTTTTTTATTTGGAGCTGGAATTTAGCCTGAATGTGTCAGGTGGGCACAGGCGTTTGTGTTAAGTTTTAGGCAGTGTCCACATTTCACAAAGAGAGGGCGTGATTGTGGCCGAGTAAACCCGGTTGCTTTGTATGGCCATACCTCTTCCACTCCACTCATTAAATAATAGAAAGATAATGTCGCTTGACTAAACTATTTTTTTATATTTTAGAAGGTTAAGGCCCACTGAGTTATATAGCTCTTTTTCAGAAGCGACCTGGCTATCACAAATGATAGCTCAACAAAGTGGTTCATCGTGTGTACATTTGTGGCAGCCAAATTACTCTAAACACATGCTTCTAAATGTGGAGGGAGAAAAAAAAATATCTCCACGACCACGGGAACAACATGCAAACTCCAAATATACAACACGCGTCAGGGTCGGGATTAAACCTACCACCTCCTGCATACCAGGCAAGGGAGTTACATTTTCGCAACCACGGCGCCCCTGTTTCAAAGTTTAGACCCCTGCTGCCAAACAGAAGCTGGTGATGGGAACACTGATCATGTGGGTAAAAAAATCTCGCCGAGCTCCTCCGCACAACTGCCCGGATTACTCACGGCTGAGGTCGGGGGCGTTAGATGGCACGCACGAGGTTGATGGTTAAACTTATTTTTTACAGCCAATAGCTATAGTTAACTTTTTTTTTCCCAGCCCCTAACCGATTTATTGTCATCGCCTGTGTCGTCGTCACGTCACGAGACGTTTCGGCGGACATGAGTAACCCTCGGGGCTGCGAGGCGGCCAGATTGTAGTGCACAGAGTTAACTTTGTGGAAACCGGTTTGAGCACATTTCTAATCGTTCTCCCCCCCCCCCCTTTTATTGGGTGGAGTGGTGGCGGCGAAGTGACGAGCGCACTACACTTTGAACCCAGGTTGGCGTGTGGTTGGGTAAAAGTGTCGGCTCTGGAGAGCCACTTAAGTGGCAGCTGCTTCCTCGAGCAATGGCGTGGGGCGAGCAGTTGCAGGGCTGCGCCTTTACCGTTGTCATACTTTGTCAACGTGCTCCCGCAGAGAATGTCGAAAAGCAGCACATGTTACTAAAGCAGACCCCGCTGCAAGGCGTTACTAATACGGCGCTGGATAAGCGACATTGGGTGGAGCGGGTGGGCTGTGGTTCCGGGCACCGCGCTATAAACCCAGCGGCCCGAGTTCAATCTCTCGTCCACGGCTGGCATCGGCAGCGAGTAGTATCCGGACGTGGTTTATTCGCGGTACGGCTTGTATCCGTCGGAGTTGCTGGCTGTCAAGAGTCTCCGACGCGGCCATCGTGAACCCCCATTCCCCATGAATCTGAATCTGACCCCCCCCCCCCCCCCCCCCCCCCGTGGGGTACCTCAGCAGTTTCGCTTTGCTGCCAATCGTTAAACGCGTTCCGCAGCCTCTTGCGTAACGCGTACACCCCCGCTGACGAGACGGGAGGCAGAGGAAAACACGCGCGGGCACCCGTGGTGTCCTTGCGGTGCCCTCCCTCCCTCCCTCCTCTGCCACCGCCGTGCCGTGCACCCTGGCGCTGGCTGGCGCGGATCGCTGCGGCGTTGCGCAAAAAAAATGCGCGCGTGGCCCCGGTGTTTGCACTGCGCGGGAACGCGAGCGGCACAACGAGAGCCCGGGTCCAAAGGACGCCCGGGAGCGGGGAGTGGGGATCGGAGTTGGAAGCGGCGTGGGGAGCACAGTGAGGAGAAGAGTGGCGAGGGGGAGCGGGGAGCAGAGTGCGGAGTGGAGTTGGGAGTGGAGTCGGGAGGAGAGTGGGGAGTGGAGCTGTGGGTGGGTGAACAGAGCAGTGTGGGGTGCGGTGCTGTCTGGGAGAATTGGTGTGAATGAGCGAGCGGCAAAAGTTGATCTCATGGTGAGTGTATTGAATGGGGGGGGGGAGTACCTTACGTGAGCGGCTGGAGAGCGGGTATCACATGGTGAGTGGGTGGGTGACCAATATGGGAGTTTCAGAGTTTAGCGAGTGGGCAACTTAGGCTTGCACGTTGTCCCTGTTGCGCGAGTGACTGTCCCCCCCCCCACCCCCGTCCACCACCACCCCTACCCCCCTTTTTGGATGATCGGGCGACTGTCGTGGATGGACGAATGACTTGAGTCGTTCTGCCCTTGCGAGTGAACGGGCGATGATAGACAAGGTCACGTCATGAGTCACTTGGTAATTTCGCTCCGGCTTCCGTCAAGCGTCACCTTCACGTGCGTCCCTCCCATCGCGTAACTCACCTCACCGGTTCTGCAAAACAATTTACAACACGAGTCGGTTGAATGTAAATAAATAAATATATAGCGCCCAAATGCGAGCACATCTCAAAATGCTTTACAGAAACTAGCAGATTCTTTTTTTCATAGAGATTGCCCATTATAGGCAGAGGGAAATAGGAAGATCCCTATAAGAGCTTGTGGGTCTCTGTGAGTCTATGGGTCTCTGTGAGCCTGTGGGTCTCTGTGACTCTGGAACACTATCGAATCCTAGAGTTTTTAAGCAAGCTTATTAGTCTCGGTAAGTTTGTTCTAGTTGAGTGTATGGGTCTCTGTGTGAGTGTGTGAGTCTTGCTCTCAGTATTTGGGTCTTTATGGAAATCTGTGGATCTCTTCCTCTTAATGAGTATGTGGGGTCTGCGTGTCACAGGGGAGTGTGGTGGTGTTTCATTTAGTGCCCTGCGCTACGAATCTGATTACTTGAGTTCGATTCTCACTCACGGCCAACACCAGTGACGATTATTTGAACCGGTCCTGGACCTCCCCTAGGTTGACTCGGCCTCAAATGAGTACCTGGTGTGATGTGTGAATATCGCCACTCGGGAAACAAAGGCGGCTGGACGTGGACCTGGCCACCCACCCCCTCATGTTCCTTTCTCTGGCCTTCTTTGGTGCTGACCAAATGCACTTGCCCCAACAGTTTGTTAAGGCTATAGAGGGGGGATTTTTGTCTTGGTTTGTGTCTGTGGGGACTTTACCTTGTGCCTTACGGGGCAGGGGAAAGGGGGGGGGGAGGGTTTTATACTGTAAATGTTTTATGACTAGTTTCCATTCATACATTTTTCAATAGCAATTCATTTTATTACTGTTCTGTGCATAGTTATAAAACAATCTCTCCCGCAGGCCGGGTCTTGAAGCTGCATAGGGCGGAATTGGGGTTACGACATGAGAGCTCTTGGTAAAATCCGTCGATCACAAAACCATCGCCTTCTAACGTCAGGCCGTCAGCCGTTTCTCTCTGCAGCAGGACGGCGACGGCGGCGACGACGGCGACGGCGGCGGCGACAGCGGCGGCGCGTGAGAGCCCCGCCAAGCTCGGCTTGTTGCATTAACTGCGGAAGAAGTGAATGACGATGGCGACAGCTGACAAGCGGCAGGAACCCAGCGCCCCCCCCCGCCCCCCCGCCCCGCCCCGCCCCGCCCCCTGATTTCAGCCTGTGTCGTATCGTCCGCAGAGGTGCCGTGGAGGTGGCGTCGCCTCGTGTATGGCCGTCCTGCGCACAAGCGACAGCGGATTCTGCCAAGCGCGGTACACGGCGCGCGCACGAGTGTGAGCAAGCAGCGCTGCCACAGACAGGGGGCTCCCGTCGGACGGAATCCAACCCTCTCTCCCGTCCGTCTGCCCGCCCGCCCGCCCGCCCGCCCGCCCGTCTGTCCGTCCGTCTGTCCGACAGACCGACCGACAGTCAAATTAATCCGCAGCCATCGGTCGCCGCGTGCTGCCGGTACAATAAGCTAGCTCTGCCCATGGGGTAAACTGAACACGGTGAGCGCCGGAGAAGTAATTTTATCGAGAGAGGAGAACTTGAGTGGGGGCAGCCAGCGGGGGCCGATGAGAGAGGAGGAGGAGGAGGCGGCGCTGGCAGGTATCGCGTGAGCCGCCCGGGCGGCAGGAGAGAGGAATCCAGCGGGAAATCTCCCCTCCCCCACCCCCCCCGTTAACCGAGCAAATTTAACAAAAAAATAAACTTTCAACAAAGCTGCAAGAGACGAGAGAAAGAAAAAAACGAGCGACGTTGCACGTACAGTGGCCAATTTTAGTTTTCTTCTTCAAAACAAATATATTTGTAAAAAAAAAATAACAATCGGCCCGCGAAGAAAAAAACATTTGAAATTGTAACGATTAAACAAAAAAAAAGAAAGATTTTAAATTGAGCCGAAGGTTGTTGGAGAGGTTGGCGGGAGGAAGCAGACGGAGAAGGGGGAGGAGGGGGGTGATTTCGGACGTGCGAGCGGTGGCCGTGGAATGGCCAGGATGAATCGCCTGGCGCCCGTGGAGCTGAGCTACAAGAACATGCGCTTCCTCATCACCCACAACCCCACCAACGCCACGCTCGACAAGTTCATCGAGGTGAGGGCGAGCTGCGTGGAGCCGCACACACAGGGCGAGCAACGAGCTTTTGTGTGGAAAGAGTTCGCGGGGTTCAAATGCCGTCCGGGAAAGTTAACTCATCATGGGGTCATCATCGTTGTCGTCATAATCATCATCCATAGTCATTAGTCAAGTTATCCTTATAATTGTTATTGGCATTATCATCCATTATTGGCATCCGTAATCATCATCATCCATCGTCGTCATCGTGGTCATCGTCGTTATCTCCACAGTTGGCCTAGGTGGTCATGCCACCTTGTGGGAAGACAGCAGGAGTTGTTCGGTGCATTGCCTGGCACCCGCCATGTCAATTTGCAATTTTAGCACTTCTAGCTCATTGCCACAAGTAGTGCTGCTCCCACGCTGCGTTTGGGCAGAGACAATTTGACCTTTGATTGTATTTTCAGATTATGCCATCAGCCCAGTTAGAACATTGTAACAAACCGTGCCAACCAGTCCATGAATTGAGCTTGGTATAGTTTTGTTAAACGTAACTTCTTGTCAGCTGTTTTTGTTGTGTTTACGCCTTTAAGCTTGGCTATCGAAGCCAAACTTAAAGGCAGCCAGCTGCCCTTCTGTTACGTACGGCTCTTAACCTATCACGGTCTGCAAGTTGAAGAGATGTCACATGGGCCATTAAGAAAAGTGAGCGGGCTTGGGCCGGACACGTCGTGGCTCGACAGGATGGCGGTCGAGACTGACGACAGAATGGCAGCCAAAGGAGAGGAAACGGTTGACGAGGACGTCCGCCGCCGTGGAGACGGAGCGATGAGGTCGGCTCGTGTGCCGCCGGTTGCCAGGCAGATTTTTGCGTCACAGGGCCCATGGAAGGCCTGTGATGGCGTTGGGAGGCTTTAACCCAGCAGTGGTTTGACCTCGGCTGATGATTATTAGTTGCGTGGCTCGCTGGTGCAGTGGTATCGCTCGTCACTCACAGGAAGAAGGGGCCTGCGTTCTATTTCCGAAATGTGTATGTTCTCCCTCCTGTTCTGCATGGGTTTCCTCTGGTGTCTCCACTCTCCTCCCGAAGCTGATAAAACACGCACACAATGAAACGGGTATTGGGTCACAACATCCCAATACTGAAACATTACCTGAAAATAACTCAATTGGGATTACACAGCAGCAACATTGCTGCTGCAAAAACTTAGCAGGACCCTAGTGATAAAATAAACAAACATTTTTTATACCAGTTAAGGACCACTGAGCTATATAGCTCTCTTTCAGAAGCGACCTGGCCACAAATAATAGCTTAACAAAGTGGCTCGCCGTCACGTGGAAATTTATAGCCGCCAAATAGTCTTAAGCGCACATTGCTCCTAAATGTGAAGGGAAAAAACTGGAGGACCTGGAGAAAAATCCACACGAGCGTGGGGAGAGAACATGCGAACTCGAAATATACAGGTGTCAGGGTTGGGGTAGAACCCACGACCTCCTGTGTACCAGTAGAGGTAGTTAATATCTCGGCACCATGGCGCCCCACTGAAGAGTCTTCAGCCTCGATGAGGCTTTCCTGGGTGTAAACCAGCGTAATCCTTCGCTCGGTGGGAGGTTTTGCTCTCTATGCTCTACTGGCCCCATCTAGCTGGAACTTCCCTCCCACAGCCATCCTTTTGCCCCCTGTTCAAGCCCGGCGTTAAGACCTTACTTTTTAACACGTAGGCTTTCGTGACCAGCATTACGATTCGTAATAGATTTTTGGGTCGGGTCACATGAGTAAAATGCTTGTAAAAAAAAAAACCTCCTCCCACCCGACGCAGCCAATTAATGAAGTATGTGGACGACATCACACCACCTGTTCAAGGCCCAAGACTGCAGGACATTTTCACGATTCTGGAAACTGGCTGATGGTGCTGGTTGTTAATGAACATCCTAGCGTCCGCACACCCCATTGTTAAATGTTGCTGTGGATCTCTCTCCAGTATTACCGGCGGCACTGCTAAAGCTGTAATACATTTGGACGTTTTGTTCATCGTGTGACAACTCTAGTAATTGGCTGTGTCAAGTGGAGGAGGGTCTATGACGCGTATTACTCACCTGGCGATCTGACTGTCTTTGACTGACTGTGATAACCATTTATTCCCCCCCCCCCCAAACACAGGAGATGAAAAGGTACCACGTGGGCACGTTGGTCCGTGTGTGCGAGCCAACGTACGACAAGACGCCCGTGGAGAATGAGGGCATCACCGTGCTGGTATGCCACGCACTCTTGGGCTTCGGCGATAGCAGTGGACGTCCCGGGGGAGGGCCGGGGGCGGTGGGGGTGCCTGGGAGGCCACGATATCGATTCCCACGGTGATATGATAGGATCTGAAATTTCGCGACGGGATGATTATCGCGATATCGTTTCCCATGGTGATACAATACGATCTGAAATTTCACGACAGGATGATTACCGTGATATTGTTTCCCACGGTGATAGATCTCAAATTTCACGACGCGATAATTATCGCAATATCGCTTCCCGCAGTGATACGATGGGATCTCAAATTTCACGACGGGATGATTTTCGCGATATTGTGTCCCACAGTCATATGATACCATCTCAAATTTCACAACACGCTGATTATCGCCCTATCGTTTCCCACGGTGACACGATAGGATATCAAATTTCACGACGGGATGATTATAGTGATATTGTTTCCCGTGGTGATACGATACCATCTCAAATTTCACAGCGCGGTGATCATGTCATCGCGACATCGTTTGTCAAGGTTTATGCGATCCGATCTCCAATTTTACGACGCGATGATTATCACGACAACGTTTCTCACAGTGATACGATGTCAAATTTCACGGCACGATTATGACGATATCGTTTCCCACGGTTATACAAAACGATGTAACATTTTACAACATGATAATTATCGTGGTATTATTTCCCACGGTTTATACGATACGGTCTCGAATTTAACAACACGATTATCTTGATATCGTTTTACTACAGCGGTAGTGTCACGTTTTTGGTTTGTATTTAATCAAGTTTGTTATTTCAGAAATATTGTTCCCAGGAAATAATTATTGAAGGTTTCGTCTTCACCCTTGTCTGTCTGAGAACGATGATCATGTGGCAAGAAATAGATGTTAATGAGGTTATGTCTCTATGATGTTCATGATGTTAACGTTACGTCTGTACGATGTTGACGATGAGGTCGTAGTGCTGCCTCCATCTATATGCGTATGATGATGATGATGGTGAGAAGGTGGCGGTAGTGGTGCCCGTGTCTCTATGATGTCGATGAAGTTACATCAGAATGAAAATGATGATGGTGACGATGAAGTGACCACGAGGTGACGGGGGTGCCCTGTGCGTGTCCGCGCGAGCAGGACTGGCAGTTTGACGACGGAGCGTCACCCCCGGACGGGGTGGTGGACGCGTGGCTCGACCTGCTCAAGGACAAGTTTCGCGACGAGCCCGAGCGCTGCGTCGCCGTACACTGCGTGGCCGGGCTGGGCAGGTGAGCTTCACGCACACCCCATGAGCAGCTAGTGCAGCATGTGCAGCATGTGCAGCATGTGCAGCATGTGCAGTGCATGCAACACACAGCACGCCGCACACATACGCGCGGGGATATGGGGATACGGAGGGAGAAATAAGCGATGCGGGTATACATTGATGCGTAGCCATGGCGATACCAGGGATGTGGGGACATGGTTAGAGAGGCGCGGGTGGGAAGTAGGGATGTGTACAATATGGAGACACGGGGGACGCAGAAATGGAGGGATATGCAGGCGGACTTTGTGGGGACACATTGTGACACGTGGACGTGCGTGCAGCACGTGGCGTTCCGAGTGCTACGCTGCGTGGCATGCTTGATCCTGTACTGTGTACTCGGTGTGGCTCCTGTGTACCCTGTTCTCTGCAACGCAGGGCACCCGTCATGGTGGCCCTGGCGCTCATCGAGGGCGGCATGAAGTACGAGGATGCCGTCGAGCTCATCCGAGAGTGAGTGCCGTTTGCGCTCGCCAACGGGGAGCGTCTTCTTTCCCTATGCCTCGTGTAGATGCAGAGCAAACGACGACAATGTCACATTCATGGTGCTCAAGCCAGCAGACGACTGCGTCATGGGCAGCGGAGCACATCCCTGCAACGTCTCCTTTTGTACTTGTGGATTGGGCATTGCGGCATTGTGTGTTGTATGGTCTGTTTTGGATGACCACAGTTGCACATTGGATCGTTTTTAATATTCCATTCGTGCATCAGGCATCTGCATCTGCCATGGCTTTTGCAGATGCGGTTTAGGGTGGACCATGAGCTTCATGGAAGAGCAAACCCAGGGATCTTGATCTTGCACGAAGCCCATGGTTCGACCCTAAATTGCGTCTACACTAATGAGCCCTTTCCTAATGCTAACATGCCCTAGCAAGCCCCAACGAGTCCAATCGTGCCCTAACAAACACTGCCACATGCTCATGAGGGCTAACGTGCCATAGCAAGCCTTAAAGTGTCCTATTGTACCCTAATGGGCGCAAACTGGCATTAGCCAATCCCATCACTGAGCTGCTCCACTCCACACGGGGATGGCAGTTCAATTCCCACTGCATGCCTGTAGATCCAGAGCTTTGGAAGCGAGGATTGGTGGAACACAGATTTTGTTTAAACTCCTAAGTTTCCTGCTGGCCTGACATGTGGCCAGGAAGTGACAGTACAGCAAGATGGTCCGTGGACCTATCGGTCTCATTCCCTTGTACCTGTGCGGGGTTCTCGGTGCAATTTGGAGGAGTCACGTGAACCAATCATATACAACATTTGTTTTTTGTAGCACAGCCGCTGAGCACCGGCCCAAAACTGCAAGCGGCCAGCAACAAACAGGACTGGTGAGGCTGTAATAGATACAAAATAAAAAGAGTCGCAAGACATTCCTTGAATAAGAGCAGCGTCTACGAAGGGATTGCATGGATTTTTACAACTCATGCAATCTGATTCGTGTATTGTTCGCTGAAGACTCGGATATTTCAATGGGTAATTCGATGCATCGTTACATCCCCCCCTCCCGCCCCCCACCCTTCCTTCTTCCCCTCCCCACCTCGCACTCCCTTCCCTCTCCGCCCTCCTGTCCTCCACCCGCATCCCTCAGGAAGCGGCGGGGAGCGATCAACACCAAGCAGTTGCTGTACCTGGAGAAGTACCGCCCCCACATGAGGCTGCGCTTCAAGGAGACCAACAGCAAGGCCGGCTGCTGCCTGCAGTAGCCGGCGCTCGGCCGCGCGGAGAAATCTCCCGGGAGATCGGCGAGGGCTTTGCGAGAGTTTCACGAAACCTTCACCGCGATCGTTTGTGAGAGATCATGGGAGATCGCAGGAGTGGGGTTTTTTTTTTTTTTGCTGCTGCTGCTGCTACAAAGGGTCGCGAGAATCTCGTTGACGACCACAAGATTCTCGGGGAGAGAAAGATTGCGACGGATCGCGATATTTTTTCACGAGCGTTTTCGCGATCGATTGCGAAAGATCACGGGAGATAGGGAAAGTTTTTTTTGTTTTGCGAGATGTGAACGCGAGGGAGTTACGTGATGGTTTCGCAATTGATCGCGAGGGATTTGCGAGAGATCCGCCAGAGGTTACAATGATTTTGCGAGAAATTGTGAGTTTTCCGGGAGATCTCCGCACACGCCATTGTTGCCAAACAAAGTACCTCCTCCACCTCGTCCACCTCGTCCACCTCGTCCACCTCGTCCCCATTGAGCCAGCCGCCCCCCGGTAACTGACGACCCGGCACCGCGGGAGCACAACGATGCGCATCCGTTTCTCGCTTTCTCTGCTCGTTTCTAGCTTTCGTTGGACTCTTGTTCTTCGCTGTTGGCTTCTTTCTGCCTTCAGTTTCTACTTCATTCCTCCTGTGCTCTGTCACCTTGCTCTGCTGGCTACTTTCTGCCGCCCTGAATTCTGCTCAACATCATCTCATCTCGATCTCCTCTCCGCCTTCTCAATTTTATTTTCTCAGATTTTTTTTTATCCCTCGTTTAGTCTTTTACTCGACTTCCCTTTACTTTCTCTTCATCTTTTTCTCACGCTGCTTTCTTGTTCCCTAACCTTTCACTTTTCTTAGCTTCTAGTCGTTCTCTTTTACATTCCCGTTTTTGCCTTCTCCGTTCGCTACATCTTCATCAGTCTCTTCCATTTCTCTCCCCATGTCACGCCTCTCACTGCCTCGACTCACTCTCGTCCTAGCTCGCTCGCTCGCTCTCTCGCTCGCTCGCTGTTTCTGCCATTGCTCAGTCCGCACACTGCTCACGCCGCCAACGTTGCTGCCAAAATAAAAACGACGAGCAGAGCTAAAATTAACATTTCATCAGTCGGAAAGCCACACACACACACTCCCACCCCGTCCACAAACAGCTGGTTCCGGACGCTAATTGCGTACACTTACCGCAAGTGAGCATGGAAGAGCTGGCCAAATGCCCCCCCCACCCCCACCCTCCCCTCTTAAGTGGAGACCCTTCTCGCCAGCAGTAGCTTGAGTGAGCCAAATGCATTGCCGAATCCTTTTACCAGCGTTTTACTTTGTACCTCTTTGGGCGTCGTCAGACGCACGCACCGAGTCAAATTCGTTGCCACGGAGCGGCGGGGGGGCAGAAAGGCTCGAGTTGAGTGGGATGCACCAGAACTACAGCAGCAGCTACGTGACCTGCACAGGCATTGAAATCAATCGCTAGGCCCAACCTGTGTCATGGCCGGCGAATGCAGTGCCCCATGAATTTAAAAAAGGAGCACACACACACAAAGACAAAGAGCCCCCCCGCCCCCCCCCGGTATAGCCTTAACAGACTGTTGGGGTAAGTGCTGTTAGCGAGCACATGTGAAGGCTGGAACGGCACACGAGGGGGTGGGTGGCCAATAAAAGGGAGCACACACGCACAGTGCACAATAATGTTTTGAGCCAGTTCAGACCTCCCAAATTCAACCATTAACCCCCTCCGCTGTCACCGTGTCTCTCACTCGCCTTGACTTAATACGGCTCGGGAGGATCCTCTTATTTTCAATTAATTTTTTCTGTTGTACCATGTGTTGTTTCGCACGATGTCCGACGTTTTGCTTTAAGTGCTGGGAGCTCCTTGAGGAACTCCTCTGTTGAATAGTTGTCCAAGTTGCAAAGCGGCAAAGGCTACAACGGTGGCGGAGATGGAGTGAGAGAAATGACGATTCTTGAGCCATCAACACTACCACCACCACCACCCACACCAACCACAACTACCTACAGCACCGTCACCTATACCACTTCCACTACCTGCACCACCACTACCCACACCCTCAAATTTCGCCACGACGATTTGAGAAAATCCCGCCGTTTGGTCATGCGACACCATTCTTGTCCCAGCTCTCGTTTCTACAGAGCTGGCTCTGGTACAGTTTTTGCCACCCGTGTCCAAACTTCAAATAAACGCAAGTTTCAAATCTACACGTGTGCCTCGAAGTGTGCTGCGTGTTATTTTGCCACGAGTCGTGCGGTGGAGATGGTGACGCAACCGGCCGGGACGGGGGGGGGGGGGTTAAAATTTGTTTCAAAACAACCTCAGCGACCTGCACCCCCATGTGGAGGCCCTCGTCATCCAGCAGTGGATTGACAAAAACGGGGCTGTATAAAAACTCGACACGCTCGTCAATAACACTGTGTGTGTGTGCGTGGCCTTAAAGAAACGGGCGAAGTTTTGGGCAATGTTCCTTCATAAGTACGTAAAAAAAAGATGAGCCATTGCCCGAAACGTCACGTTCTTTATTTAGCTTTTAAGGCCGCGAGTGTTATTGACGAATGAGTTCAGTTGGTTTGTTAATCGCACTTGTTGCTGCACCACTGCCAAAGCAAGGGATTATCAATTCATCCAAAAATGTTCAAAGTCATTAATTTCCCTTCCCAAATTGCTGGCTTAGAGGATGTTTACGTGTAGCAAACAGCTTTGGTGGAATTAATTTTGTTTTTTTCCATTGCCCCCACCTGTTCGTGCCGAGCCAGCATGAGGCTGGCACAGCACGGGTCGTTTTGCGCGTGATATTTTCCGTGCCGAGCTCGAGCCAAACTGATAGGTCGACCTCGATACATCTGAGTCTGGCCCAGGGCCAAGCAGTGGGGCTAACGACTCATTGTGTGTGACGTCTGCCCCACGGCATGGGCTTGTTGCGTTGTTCCCGAACTGTCTCGGCACGGCTCGGTTTTACAGTGGACAAGAGGAGTCTGTTTGCTGACCGTGTGGCCGCATTGGCAAGACACGGTGTGTGTGTGTCCTTGACACGCTGGATTTTCACTCCCAAGGTTGGCCGATCTCGCTTGGCAGAGTGCTGATTTATTTACCAGGTTAAGTCCGTGCCAGTTGTCAGCTCAGCTCCCCCCTCCCATCATGATCATCACCTCTCTGAGGTGGTTAAAATTGGTACCAGGATGTAATTTGTATGCGATAACATACGCAGTTTAAAGACAATTCCAACTCTACGGAATAGTGATCGGGCTTGGGCAGGATACGTCAATACTGTGGCTTGTATTCATCGTGAATCTCTGCGAGTCTGTGTAAAGTGCATAAATGACGTCACGCGATTTTTGACCCCCCCCCCCTCGTCACAAAAAGTCAGACCCCCCCCTTAAATATGACGTCACAAAGCTCTGCCCCGCCCCCCCCCCCCAAAACCATATTTCCATTTAGAAAATAAAACATGTTTCGAATCGCTTTAAACTATTGTCATTGTAGTGCGTATTTAACGTGGCGCTGCACTCTGATGTTGGTAGGAGTGTTGTTATAACAATTAGTGTTGTAACAATTCTATATTTAAAGTTGCGCATTTTGATGTGACGTCACATTTCTCACCCCCCCCACACCTCGTCACACATCGTCACAAATGTCTGACCCCCCCCCCCCCCCAGGGAGAGAGACGCGAAAACTCCAAATATACAGCAGCAGCAGCAACAGGTGTCAGGGTCGGCATCGAATCCCACGACCTCCTGTGTACCAGGCGAGGTAGTTAACATCTCATAGCCACCGTGATGATGATGATGAGAGAGAGACACAGACCTCCTGTGTACCAGGCGAGGTAGTTAACATCTTATAGCCACCGTGATGATGATGATGAGAGAGAGACACAGACCTCCTGTATACCAGACGAGGTAGTTAACATCTCATAGCCAACGTGATGATGATGAGAGACATAGACCTCCTGTGTACCAGGCGAGGTAGTTAACATCTAGCCACCGTGATGATGAGAGAGAGACACAGACCTCCTGTGTACCAGGCGAGGTAGTTAACATCTCAGCCACCGTGATGATGATGATGATGAGAGAGAGACACAGACCTCCTGTGTACCAGGCGAGGTAGTTAACATCTCATAGCCACCGTGATGATGATGATGAGAGAGAGACACAGACCTCCTGTGTACCAGGCGAGGTAGTTAACATTTCATAGCCACCGTGATGATGATGAGAGACACAGACCTCCTGTGTACCGGGCGAGGTAGTTAACATCTCATAGCCACCGAGATGATGATGATGAGAGAGAGACACAGACCTCCTGTGTACCAGGCGAGGTAGTTAACATCTCATAGCCACCGTGATGATGATGAGAGACACAGACCTCCTGTGTACCAGGCGAGGTAGTTAACATCTCATAGCCACCGTGGTGATGATGATGAGAGACACAGACCTCCTGTGTACCAGGCGAGGTAGTTAACATCTCATAGCCACCGTGATGATGATGATGAGAGAGAGACACAGACCTCCTGTATACCAGACGAGGTAGTTAACATCTCATAGCCACCCCCGCTCGTGTGCCGTGGCCGGACTTAATAGAGGCGCCGCTGCTCGCTAAAAGCACTTGCCCCCCCCCCCCCCAAAAAAAATCCTCTTCAAGACGACTACACCTTGGTATGTGGGGGAGGTGGGTAAGTGAAAATTGTGAACGAGTAAGACATTGTCCAGCGATTCGGTGAGCGGCGTTCCCTTGGCAAGGTGACCCTTAAGGAGATCTTCGCGCCGCGCTCCCGTGTCCCGGCTCGTTGGTCTAGGGGTATGATTCTCGCTTCGGGTGCGAGAGGTCCCGGGTTCAAATCCCGGACGAGCCCGACGGGGTCGCAATATTTTTTTTTCCCCTCTTGCTCCCTCTCTCTCTCTCGTTGTGTGTTGCTTTTCTTCTTCGGTATAAACATTTCTACCGCACGTTTACGCGAACGCAACAAACCCGCTTCGTTTAAACTTTCTACGTGCTGTCGCTGCGTTTATATATTTTTATTATTATTATTGTTATTCTGACACGCTGCGCGTGGAATGAGTTACACAACTTGAGGCCTAGGCGCCGCCGCTCGGCCTTTCCCTCCTCCCCGCGGACCCCCGCCTCTTGCCTAGTTTCCTCCCCCCACCTCCCGCACACTCAGCCCGAGGGCCGCTGCTACCCCGCCCGCGCCCATGGACCAGGAGACGGCGCAGCGCCTGTACGCCGAGGGCGCCTTCCTCGTGTTCCTTGGGGTCCCCGAGGGCACGGAGTTCGGCATCGACTACAACACCTGGGAGGTGAGAACGCCCGGGGACCCTCGTTTATTGACGGCGGGAGCGGTTCGTGGTCACGATGGCCGAGCGAGAGGCAACAGAGACTTGAGGCTCTTATTCTTATTATTATTCTCGTAGTAGCAATAATAATAACAATAACAACGATGGTGCATTTTGTAAAGCGCGCAAATCGGGGCCAAGCTCAGAAGCGACTGGAAAGTCAGTGTGTCGTAGAGGCGAGTGTTTTTTTTCAGTGTCTCTTGCAGGAGACGATGTTGCAGAGAGGGGGAATGGATTGGCGTGGTGGTGGTGGGCCCGCCGCCGCCGCCGAGAAGCCTAGCGCATAGCCGTGAGCGTCCTGGGACTTTTGATACCCGTGTGTGTCTCTCTCTCTCTCGCCGGTCTCTCGCTCTCTCGCTCTCCCCAAAGGGGGGAGGTTCACGGTGGCTGTGGCAAGGACATCGAGGCGCCGGTTCTCGCACTGACTCGGGACGTTCATCATTAGCCGCGCTCCTGAGGCGTTGAGGTTTCGCGATGGCCGTGTCCAAAGGTAGTCGCGGACTGAGGCCCCCCCCACCACCACGGTTTAAAGGCCCTCACCGTGTCTCGGTGGCTTCTAAAAATGTGTTTCTCCACTGTCTTTATCGGAGACGTTGATGTCCCCTACATTGAGAGCACGGAGATGAGCGCTGGGTTTTGAGTGTCGTCTCATTGATGTTTTATAACGGCCATGCGGTCGGCACTGATGCTGGTGCATATCGCCTACGCGTGTCTAAGAGCCGGCGTTCCATAGTCACTCGCTTTGGGTGTCTGTTTCTGACTTTGAGGTCTGGTATGGCTTTCAGAGACGCATGGCTTCACACCCTGGGTCTGAGTGTCTCTCCGAAGAGGTTTATAACAAACGAAGGGGGTGGGTGGCCACCACCACCACGCCCGGCCGCCTTTGGCCCCCCCTCCCAGTGGCGAAGTTCACACAGCACAGCAGTTACTCGTTTGATGCTGAGTCGACCTAGGGGGAGGTCCAGGACCGGTAAAAATAATCTTCACCGGTGGTGGCCGTGAGCGGGAATCGAACTCGGGTCGCCGGGTTCGTAGCGCGGCGTAGCGCTAACCACTACACTACAATGCGTTACTCTTCCACACAGACAGACACACACAGACACACACACACAGATACACACACACAGACACATACACAGCGCGCTAACCACTACACTACAATGCGTTACACTTCCACACAGACAGACACACACACAGACACACACACACAGATACACACACACAGACACAGCGCGCTAACCACTACACTACAATGCGTTACACTTCCACGTGCGCGGGTCACGTGACAGATTTGACATCACAGTTCACTTGCCGTGCAAAAAAATAAATGCATTATTGAGCTCCCCCCCCCAAAAGAAAACAAAACTCTATTTTTTTATAATTTTCCATGGTGTACAGTCTGGAAAGTACCCACATGGCAAATTTCAAGTTTGTTGCATGTCGGGAAGTACACTAAACATTTTGAACAGACACACATAATGACAACTTTGCCTTTTATATAAATGGAGATGTACTTGACTTGGCAATGGCAATGTCACGGACACCGAGGCAGCGCGGCTGTTACTTCACAAGCTCTTAGCGTGATTGAATGAAGGACACTGGCTGAATGATGCGAATCGTTTGCGGTACGGGTTTTATTCACCATTGGCGATGTGCGGTAACGAGCTGACATTGCCATAGGTAACTTTTATTGTCTTCCCGCAAGTTTATCCCAAATTGAGCTGCCAGCGTCATGTCGTGAGATAAACTTTTTCAGGTTAGGTAGCGGCCTGCGGAAGCGGATGTCGCAAAACTACGCTTTAAATATCTCCCAAGTTGACCTCTGGTCCACGTTAGAGGGATGCGTGCCTGAAAGGTGCGACGATGATGCTGTACAACGCAAATCAAATGCAGTGTACAGGGTAGGCAGTGGAGGTGAAGGCTGGGAGGCGACAGATACCGGAAAGGACAGATAATGCTGTCAGCGACATAAGTCTGGGTTGAGGCGATGCAAACCGGGTAGCAGTATTTAAAAAAGTGACAATGTATTTGCGAAACGATTTTGAAGGGGAGGGGGGGTAAGGCGTAAATCGGGGTATTACTGTATTTCCATGGAAGTCAACCTGTTTTTTTTATAATTCCCAGAGCTGGATTTTTGCCCAGCAACACTGAGATCCTAGTTTCAAGCCCCGGGCTTATTTAACTCGTGGTTGAAGCAGGTTTCCGCGTGTGGCGAGTTCGTCGGGAAAGTCAGGTTTGTTTCCCCAGTGATTCAATGCATTGTCACGATTCTGGGGTTCAGATTTTTATTCGAGAATTGTGCCATTGTGGTGAATCTAGAACCTCGAGTGGCGACAGGGTTTACCGAAACCAATGCGATCAAAACACAATAACAATAATCATTTAGTCGTTTGTCAATCCGCTGTTGGATGAAGGCGTGCTTTTGCGTACCCACACGTCTTTGTGCACGCAGGTGGGCCCACTCTTCAAAGGCATCAAGATGATACCGCCGGGCATGCACTTTGTGCACTTCAGCGCGGTGCGTGGATGTGGGGGCAAGCCAGGGGGCAAGGCTGAGGGCAGCGGGCCCAAGAGCAGCGGGGCAGGAGACCGCGGGCCCTGGGGCCGGGAGACGGGGCCACGCACGGGATTCTTCCACGAGTTTGGGAAGCGCGAGCTGCTCGTGCGCAAGTGGGACGTGGGGATGGAGGACGCGGCCAGCGAGGAGGTGGCGAGCGACGAGGTGGAGAGGATACGCGCCAGCCTCAAGGTTCGAGCATCCCCGCGTGGGCCCGCGTGTGACCCAGTAGTGACCTTTCTCCAACTGACGCAGAGCTGTTCTTTCCCTGTGACTCTCTGTGACAATCAGCGCTTGCCTGTGAACTGTTAGCGACTCCCTGCGTCACTCTCAATCACTCCCGGTGTGTCCCTGTACGTGTGTGTACACGCAGGTGAGACTGTTCTTCAAAGGCATTTTTACTTTCAAGCTTACTCTTGGAATGTCCCTGTATATACATAACCCATTGTGACTCCCCATTACCATATGTAGCTATCATTGACTTGCTAGTTACTGCAACTCCATGTAATTCCATACAATTCACTGTGACTCAATGTCTCTCCTAAAGATTTACATTGCCTGTCGATGTCTTTCAGTGCCTCCCATTTTTGCACAGTATCTCCCAATGCCTCCGTTGTCTCCACTGCCTACCATTGACTTCCATCACCTACCAATACTTTACATTGCATTACATTGCCTCTCAGTATCTCCCAGATTCTCCCACTACCTCCCAATATCTCCCAATACCTCCCAGTACCCCCCCCCCCCCCAATGTCTCCCAGTGTCTCCTAAATTCTCTCTCGCAATGTCTCCCAACTTATCTCTGTACCTCCCAATGTCTCCTCGCTTCTCCCAACTATCTCTCGTTTCCCAACACCTCTCATTGTCTCCCAACGTATCCCAATGCCTCCACCCCCCCCCCCCCCCCCCCACCAGCCTCTCCCTTTCGCGTCTCGATAACCGAACCCCTGCCCCTTCCTCCCGGCAGGACCTGGATCGGAACCTGGCCCCGTACCCGTACGACACGCTGCGGCGCTGGGTGTCGCTGAGCGGCCACGTGACGGGCTCCGTGGCGGCGCGGCTCCTGCCGCTGTCGGGCCGCGTGTGCGCCTTTGCCGAGATGGAGCCCGAGACGCCGAGCTCCAACTCGCAGCAGCGGCTTGCGCTCAACCTCCCCCGCAACGACACCGAGTGCTCCAGCCTGCAGGCAGGGCGCTTGCACACCCGCCACCCGGGCAGTGCGGCCCGCTGGATGAATAACGGACGTCGCGATCCGTGTCCCCGTCGGTTGGTCAAGTGTTTTGACAGCGGCCACTCGAGCTGCTCTGTTTGCGGGTGCTCCCCCCTGCAATTTGTCATTTGATTTCGTTTGTCTCAGTATGCTTTGTCGGTTGCGTTGCTTCACGATATCAAATGTGATGCGCAGTGGCTTGTAACCTTGTGTAGCGCGCCGCCTTTATGGTCAGGTCGCACTGGAAGAGAGCTTGTTTTAGCTCGGTGAGCCCTACCTGCCTCGGTAAAGAAGTTCAACATACACATGCACATGTTGATGCTGCTCCTGTGACTGCTGCTGATGCTCCTGCTGCCGATGCTCATGCCTCTTGTCTTGGCCGCCGCCGCCGCCGCCGCTGCTGCTGCTGCTTCCGCCGCTGCGGCCGCAGGAGGGAGAGGCGAGGCTGCCCATCATGAAGCAGCGCCCCGGCACCGAGATCCGCTTCTCTGAGCTTCCACAGCACCCATTTCCGCTGGGGGCCAGCCCCGCGGACGTGACGCGCCACTCGCTCGACCGCTCGCTCGCACTCGACGCGCTCCTCGCCCGGCACTACCCCCAGGACGAGCACGGCATCCTGGGTACGCGGACCGCGAAGGAAAACCCATCTCCCTCACCGCCCCTCCGCCACCCCCCACGTTGTCTCTGACAGACCATTGGGCGATTGGTGCCGTTAGCGAGCACCTGTGGAAGCTGGCGTGCTCGAAGGCGTGGTGTGGCCATGCCTGGCCACCTTTGTCTCCCCAATGCTGCAACTACGCCATTGCTCCCCCCGTGGATGTACATACCTAATGACGTGCACATAAATACAGACACGTACGTAAATACAGACACGTACATAGAATAACTGCCGCCGTTCGCCACTCTGTGGCGGTGACGTCACCACATGCACACGGACGGATAAATGTGTTTGCACATGTGCTCATCTTTGCGTGTATCTGCGTGCGTGCTCCTCATGACCCCCGCGTGACCCCCGCGTGACCCCCGCGTGACCCCCGCGTGCTTGCTGCTCATCACTCCCACGTGCGTGTGCCCAGAGCAGGTGAGCTGCAGTTTGCGTTCGTGTGCTTCCTGCTGGGCGGCGTCTACGACGCATTTGAGCAGTGGAAGCGGCTGCTGGCGCTGCTGTGCGGCAGCGAGGCGGCGGCGCTGTCTCGCCCGCGCCTCTACCGCGACCTCATCCCTGTGCTCTACCACCAGCTCAACGAGGTGCCACGGGACTTCTTCGTCGACATCGTCACGAGGGACAACTTCCTCACCTCCACGCTGCAGGCGAGGCAGCGCCGCAGTGGCTTGGCCAAATGATTACACTTCACTGTGATTTGATGTGGAACCCGGCAAACATTGTAGAGGGTAATAATAAGCTTTATTTTATGAACGCAGCTTTCGTATTGAAATATAACAATGCGGTGTACGTGTAAAAAAAAAAACGCTCGCACGTGTAGATAAAATGCAATCAAAACACAGTAAAAGCTGATAACATTGACAGCTGCACTTGCAATGCAGACAGAATGAAGAACAAACTAGGATAGACGCCAATAATTATAATTATAGTCGGTGTAGATGAACACGAAAAGCCAATAAAAATAGTTTTCGCCGGCAGCGTCCTCGCACGGGGAGATTTTTCCTGCCACCACATCATCATCATCATCAGCCATGATCCATTCACTGCTGCCTGCACCAAGGATTCCACAGGCTTTACCCGCCCACCGCGGCATGCCGGCGCCCTGACCGGCACTGCCTTCTGTACTCCACCTCCCCCCCCCCCGCCCCACCTCCACCCCCACAGGTCTTCTTCTCCATCCTGTCGGGCGCGGACGTGGAGCGGTCTCTGCATCAGCGAGCCGCCATGTTCAAGCAGCACCTGACGCGCAAGTTCCGCTGGGATTTCGACGCGGAGCCCGAGGACTGCGCCCCTGTGCTCGTGGTGCTGCCAGACGGCGTGGTGCTGCCAGACGGCGTGGTGCTGCCAGACGGCGTGGTGCTGCCAGACAGCGTGGTGCTGGGGTGATCTCACGGCACCGGTGGCCATCTCGGCGAGGGCAGGGCTACCGTTTGGCCGTCTTTGCGAGGGCTGCTTGTGACGCACGGGGGGGGGGGGGGGGGGGGTGGTGATCGTCCTTTGTGCCTGGGGTCCAAATAATCATTTGATTAGAAATAACGGATTGGATGAGCGGGCAAAATGTGTCCGTTGTGTGTCCGTACCTGGACATTAAAATAAGTATTCCGACCCAAGATGGCTACCATACGGTCCTGTCCTTTACCAAGATGGCTACCAGATGGAGCTGCCCTCACCGTGATGGCTATTAGTCAGACCTAACTATAACCAGGATTGCCGCTAGAATTGCCAGTCGTCAAGATTGCTATCAAACAGCTTTGTCTTGCTTCACAATGGCCACCTTATAAACTTGCCCCTCACCAAGAAGGCTGCCAACTGAAAAGGAACTTGCTGCCAAGATCGTGGAACTCTTGAGACATGGCCGCAGACCTCGGCGGAATTTTCCAACAGGAAGACGGTGGAACGCCTGTTTACATTGGAAAATCTGCCTTGTAATTTTTTTCAGCCGAACTTAAAAATCCGCTCCAAACGTTTCCCGTGCACCAAGCATCAGCAGAGCACAACCGTAAACATCACCCGCGAAGGGAACCTGCTCGGATAATTGATGTCGATTTGCATTTAAAGGACGCTGAATTGCCTGAGCAACTCAAAGCGTCTTTATCGCTCATCTCAACCGTTTCAATGCCCTGCTGTTCCGTGCTTGCTTAGGGCGCACCTGCCCAGTGGCAGCCATTCGTTCGCGGCAAAAAATTTCACAACCCCGACCTTCAAATGGGCATTAGTGTGCCAGTAGGGGGCGATGTTAAGCCACAGAGCATCATGGGAAAATAACTTCCACGGTGCTTTGCACACCCGGATTGCGCGCAGGAATTATAGTTTTTCACGATTGTCGACTCCAGGATTCGACGTCGAGAGGTCATCACGACCATCGATGTCAGCACCACGTCATTGTTTGCTTCGGCCAGAGCCTTCGACCATTGCAGTGCCATGGGCCAGCAATAGGCGCCGCCACTTGTTCCTGGTTTTTCCAGGCTCGTTTGTTGCTGTTAGCTGCAAGTCTTCTCGAGAGTATTAAAAGTCAAACGTATTTTGTCAGTTGCGTAATAATACACTGCTCATGATGACACACTGACGTGTAATCCTCCTCTCGTCTGGTATTGTGAGAGCTTCTTTGAGACGGACAACACGCTCGAGACGGACAGTACACACGAGGCAGACAACACAAAATAGACTGACAACACCACACAGGCCAATACAAACCAAGTGGTAAATTCTGTAACTGAATGGAACATTAATTGTGAATATTCATTGAATTACGTCGAGGGTGAGTTACCATCGGTACCTGACTACTCAATGTGTTTGGTAAAGTTTGATACCCCAGGTTGGCTCCAACTGCCCTTTTTGTGTATGGGACTGTTAAACTGCAGACCTGCTACATCATTTTACTGCAATCTGTGAGTCTCTGATATCAGTTTTTCATTAAAATGTAAATTTATCCAAAAAAATAAAGGTTACCAGCAGTTTATCGAGAATGGACTCGATGTTAAAATGAAATCGTGTGATCTTTGAACATATTAAACTGAATTTGTATTGGCACGTACATTCCAATAGCTTCTGCCAGATTTCCGTGAGAGGTGACACTGCAAAGCCAGGTAATAGCTGCGTCCTTGATTTAACCAGGCGGGTGACAACAGTCCTGTATTGCCTTTCGAGGGCGACCAGGGTGGCTGGTTATGTGCAGCCGTTTTGCCAGTCCACTGCTGGATATTTTTTTTATTGGTGCAGTTATTGGTGGCGGGGCTGAGACCCTCAACTCGCTACGCTTGAGAACGCGGTTTAATGACGAGCCATCCGGCCACAGCTCGGATCTGTCATGTTGGTTTTGCCTTTTGAGTTCACACAATATGGGTTCTAACCCTGGTTAAATCACCAGTCAATTTAATATCACATTGGCAGCTGAGTCTCGGTCATATAAACCACGGCTGCTGCAGACAGCCTGGATCCGGGTGGTTGAGTGGGGAGTATTGTTGGGCTTGTGACTCAGAAAAAAAACTTAATACGATCCTGCTATGATTTTATGTTCTCACATTTTCAATGCTACATTTAAGATTTAAGGTCTGTATCTGGTAGTGGATTACATTAATAAAGGTAATTAATAAAGGTAACGCTTAAAAGGCAATTTTCTTTGCCTAAATGCATACTTGTTAAATACAAGATTGTGCCGTCTCTTCTAATAACGCGAGCATTTCAATCTAGAGTTTCCCATTCGCAACCAAGTGCTGCTCCAGGCAGGGGCAGCCGTGCCCATAAGGCACGGCTGCCCCTGCCTGGAGTTGGAAGGAGTTGGGCTCATAGTCCCCACCAAGGTCCAATTTTTGTAATAATTTTTTGAGCACCACACCACGACCGCCGCCACCTCCTGTGGTCCAGGAGTGGACCCAACGCTTGGGGGACTGCTGAGCCCCGAGGAGCCGGGTTCGACTCCAGCACGTGGCCGCCCGCGCGGATTCAACTAGGTGAGTTGCTTTAGGTGAGTGCATGTCCATGCATGTATTTGTGTTAATGACTGCTCGTCTCCAGTAGGTGGCGATGGTGGTGGAGATGACAGACGGGCGAGGAAGGAGCATGGGAGACGGAGGAGTGTTGGGATAGGTGGACAAAAGAAGGGGACGGAGAGAACGAGAACCTTCCAGGTGTCACTTTATGGATATATATATATATTTTATATCGCATACCGGCTTCGCCCGGGACTTCGATTCACCACGCCCGGCCGCCTTTGTCTCCCCTAGTGGCAATGTTCACACACCAGTTACTCATTTGAGGCTGAGTCGACCTAGGGGAGGCGCAGGACCGGTTCAAATAATCGTCACCGATGGTGGCCGTGAGCGGGAATCGAACTCGGAGACGCCGGGTTCGTAGCGCAGTGCGCTAACCACTACACTTCCGCTCCCCCCCACCACACACACGCGCGTCCATAGGTACACATACACGCGCTTGCTGCAGACACACACACAACTTTCAGGGTGCGTACGGCAGTAAACGACTCAAATAATAAAGCAATGCTGCACGAAGAACGCCTTAGACCTGCAACACATTTGTATTTCACTTTACCCGCTATCAGCAGGCACACTGCGTTACGCTTCCGCACAAAATAAATGCATTATTACGCTCCCCCCAAAATACTAAAGTGTATTTTTATAATTTTTGCATTGTGTACAGTCTGGAAACTACCCACATGGTAAATTTCAAGTTTGTTGCATGTCGGGAAGTACGCTAAACATTTCGAACAGACACATTCACAAATGTCCCTTTAATACATAGATATACTTTGCGCTGTCTAATTTAGACAGCTTGCCACTAGAGGGCGCCGCTTCATTATAAACGCGGTGCTGAAATACGGCGGTTCAAGCCGGTTTAAAGTACCACCACCACGACCTACACCACCACCACAACCTAACATCACCACCTACACCACCACCACAACCTAACATCACCACCTACACCACCACCACGACCTACACCACAACCTACATCACCACCACGACCTACATCACCACCACGACCTACACCACCACCACGACCTACACCACCACCACCACCACAACCTAACATCACCACCACCACAACCTACATCACCACCACCACGACCTACACCACCACCACGACCTACATCACCACCACGACCTACATCACCACCACGACCTACACCACCACCACCACGACCTACACCACCACCACAACCTAACATCACCACCACCACAACCTACACCACCACCACGACCTACACCACCACCACGACCTACACCACCACCACCACCACAACCTATACCACCACCACAACCTATACCACCACGACCTACACCACCACCACCACCACGACCTACACCACCACCACCACAACCTACATCACCACCACGACCTACACCACCACCACGACCTACACCACCACCACCACCACAACCTACATCACCACCACCACGACCTATACCACCACCACAACCTAACATCACCACCACCACAACCTATACCACCACCACGACCTACACCACCACCACCACCACGACCTACACCACCACCACCACGACCTACACCACCACCACAACCTATACCACCACAACCTACATCACCACCACGACCTACACCACCACGACCTACACCACCACAACCTACATCACCACCACAACCTACACCACCACCATGACCTACACCACGCCACCACAACCTACACCACCACGACAACCTAACATCACCACCACCACAACCTACACCACCACCACGACCTACACCACCACGACCTACACCACCACCACCACGACCTACACCACCACCACGACCTACACCACCACGACCTACACCACCACCACGACCTACACCACCACCACGACCTACATCACCACCACCACCACCACCACGACCTACACCACCACCACCACCACGACCTACACCACCACCACGACCTACACCACCACCACCACAACCTACATCACCACCACCACGACCACAACGACTTACATCAAAGACAAAGCTCCCCCGTATAGCCTGTAACAGACTGTAGGGGCAAGTGCTGTTAGCGAGCACCTATGAAGGCCAGGAACGGTACACGAGGGGGGTGGGTGGCCAGCACCACGCACAGCCGCCTTTGTCTCCCCAGTGGCGATGTTTACACATCTCACCAGGTACTCATTTTAGGCTGAGTCAACTTAGGGGAGGCCCAGGACCGGTTCAGAAAATCGTCACTTGGTGTTGGCCGTGAGCGGGAATCGAACTCGGGTCGCCGGGTTCGTAGCATAGCGTAGCGCTAACCGCTGCACCACCGCTCCCCAGAGCCACAGCCACCACCACCACCATCCCTCCCTCCACCCATCACCTCACGCCATCCACTCTCTTCCCTCACCGCCCATCACATCTCTCTCTCCTCCACCCATCCATCACCTCACGCCATTCACTCTCTTCCCTCACCGCCCACCCATCACTTCTCTCCCTCCTCACTCTTTCACCACCCATCACTTCTCTCCCTCCTCACTCTTTCACCACTCATCACCTCACGCGAGTGAGTGGTGAGTGTGTGGTGAGTGTGTGGTCAGTGTGTGTGGTGAGTTGTCTGTGTGTGGTGAGTGTGCATGTGTGGTCAGTGTGTGTGTGGTCAGTGTGTGTGTGGTGAGTTGTGCGAGTCTGGTCAGTGTGTGGTGAGTGTGTGTGGTGAGTGTGGGTGGTGAGTGTGGGTGGTGAGTGTGGGTGGTGAGTGTGTGTGGTGAGTTGTGTGTGTGTGGTGTGTGTCTGTTGGTAAATGTCTTGTGTGGTGAGTGGTGAGTGAGTGGCGAGTGAGTGGTGAGAGTGGTGAGTGGTGTGTGAGCGGTGAGTGAATGGTGAGTGATTGGTGAGTGAGTGGCGAGTGTGTGGTGAGTGAGAGGTGAGTGAGTGGCGAGTGTGTGGTGAGTGGTGAGTGGCGAGTGTGTGGCGAGTGAGTGGTGAGAGTGGTGAGTGGCGAGTGAGTGGTGGGTGAGTGGCGAGTGAGTGGTGAGTGTGTGGTGAGTGAGAGGTGAGTGGCGAGTGTGTGGTGAGTGGCGAGTGAGTGGTGAGTGTGTGGTGTGTGAGTGGTGAGTGAATGGCGAGTGAGTGGTGAGTGAGTGGCGAGTGAGTGGTGAGTGTGTGGTGAGTGAGAGGTGAGTGGCGAGTGAGTGGTGAGTGTGTGGCGAGTGAGTGGTGAGTATGTGGCGAGTGTGTGGTGAGTGGCGAGTGTGTGGCGAGTGAGTGGCGAGTGTGTAGTGAGTAGTGAGTGGTGAGTGAGTGGCGAGTGAGTGGCGAGTGAGTGGTGAGTGAGTGGCGAGTGTGTGGCGAGTGAGTGGTGAGTGAGTGGCGAGTGAGTGGCGAGTGAGTGGTGAGTGAGTGGTGAGTGAGTGGTGAGTGGCGAGTGTGTGGTGAGTGAGTGGAGAGTGAGTGGTGAGTGAGTGGCGAGTGAGTGGTGGGTGTGTGGTGAGTGAGTGGTGAGTGGCGAGCGAGTGGTGAGTGAGTGGCGAGTGAGTGGTGAGTGGCGAGTGTGTGGCGAGTGAGTGGTGAGTGTGTGGTGAGTGGTGAGTAGTGAGTGAGTGGTGAGTGATTGGCGAGTGAGTGGTGAGTATGTGGTAAGTGAGTGGCGAGTGTGTGGCGAGTGAGTGGTGTGTGGTGAGTGTGTGGCGAGTGAGTGGCGAGTGTGTGGCGAGTGGTGAGTGGTGAGTGAGTGGCGAGTGTGTGGCGAGTGAGTGGTGAGTGAGTGGTGAGTGAGTGGCGAGTGAGTGGTGAGTGTGTGGTGAGTGAGTGGTGAGTGGCGAGTGAGTGGTGAGTGGCGAGTGAGTGGTGAGTGAGTGGCGAGTGTGTGGTGAGTGAGTGGTGAGTGTGTGGTGAGTGTGTGGCGAGTGAGTGGTGAGTGGTGAGTGAGTTGCCACCCGTCCTGGGTTTCCCCGGGATCGTCCTCTCTCTGAGGAATCTCTCCGAGTGAATCTCTCTGCCTCCTGCCGGCTCATGAGAAGTCCTGGCGCATTCACGAGAGGCCTCCACTCCTCGCTCGACATC